TTCTTGACAGCTAAAAGACGTCCTGAACAAGTGGTAGGGGAAAAAAGTTTTTTGGACGATTCAAAAGTGCTTGTAATAGCCTACTTGAATAAAGATATTTTCATTTCATTTACTGCATATTTATTCTAGGCATTTATCTTTAGATTTATTTACCTTCTGTTATTTTTTAAACTAGTTCGGCACATGGAGTCGATAACCAAATACAACACAACAGCTGTTTTTAGGGTTGTCAGCGTACAGTTTTACTGCGAAGAAAAACAGCTAAATATCTAGGTCATGTGCTGGGTTTCAGACTTAGTGATCATTTTTCTGGGTTCTATTCATCATACCGTATGTGCCATATTCGGGATTATACAGGTATTACCAAACACGCTGTATAAATTAAAAAAGAAGGGACCAAGCAATGAGCACCGTGGAACACCCATGATAGGTGTTGATCTAAGTTCATAATATCAAGATTCGTGATATATATTTCATGCATGACCAACATACCTAATTGACAGCTTTAAATACGTCACAGAAAAAAACCTGAAACGTTGTGTGAATTCTCCCAGGCATCAACAATTTGTTCTAAGATTCCGATATTCATGCCGATACTGGACTCATGCATCCGTATGAGGCGAACCGTAGCTGGTTTTATCATATAGGCCAGTTACAGTAACCTGCCCTTTTCAGAGTAGGAATGGTCAAGACCCATAGTGCTGATTAGATATTCTAGAGAATCACCGTTTCTTTGAATGTTGAGCTTGTCCTCAATCCGTTCTTAGAGTTAAACTGAAATGTAAAATTTACCATAAAACGTTTACCATACTTACGTCACAATAATCAATGCTGATTACCGAATTATTCACATCAAATTTTTTAATGCCAACCTCAGTCAGGAATAAATTTAGTAACATTTTGGAGCGATTTTCCGGTCCGTAATGCCGTAAGTAGATTTTAAAAATATTTAGTTCTCTAATTATAAATCCTTCTGTTGATAACATTTAATGACTAAAATGACTTCATAAATTTTATTTCAATAAATTTACCAGTATCGTAAGCAGGTCAAAGAACGACGTCTTACAAAACAGCGGTGCGATCGTATCAGTCACGTTCGAAAACTTGTCACGGCTTTTATAATAGGGTGTTATACTCTGATTGCAAAAGTACTTACTTTGTACTTGTAAGTGTTTATAAAGGACAACAAAAGTATTCCAAAAAATTAAAAATGTTTTCTTACCTTAATATTAAATCATAATTCGAACATTTTACACCCATAAAAACACCGTCTGCCATATTCATGACGTCATTCGGTTGTGTTCAGATTGAAATATCAATAATAATAATTAAATAACAGTAATGTACAAACAGATTAAATTATTTTTAACAATAAACCAATTTAACAAATGTAATGTAACTATGTGTTTATTTATGTTTCAATTTTATGTTCATATAAATTTGCATAACTGTTTGATCCTGTATAAAAAAATAAATAAGATATCATTCAAACGAGAATGGTGTTAATTAAGGATCTCACTTCAAAATAATAATAATAAATAAGGTAAGAACAGTGTTATCTCGGAATATGCTTTTTCTGTCATATACACTGCTGTTTATTTATTTTTTTATAACTACTGACAGATGTCAGATTCAGAAAATATTCAATATTCAAAAATATTCAAGCGAAGTGTCGTCACGTAATGGCGGGTTATGTTTTTAAGTCACATGATGAACAGACAAAAAAACTGTACTTTTGATTTTGATATATTAAGATAATTATGCGATTATAGGTATGATTATTTCAAAGTAAATTTCAATGATTCTGCAAATTCGTGCTTTACGTTTCACTACCGAAACTACTCAATCCACTATCGGAACTACCCAATTCACTATCGAAATTACCAAGTATGCTTAAAATTGTATTATTTTGGTTGCAACACAACTATAATCTATTAAATATCGTTGAAAATTGTATACTAGTCCGGAACACTACATTTACCTTACAGAAAAATCTTCGGTTTTCATTATAATTAATTGTATGGCTACGCTTGTTGCGTACTGCAACAAGCGTATGTACAATCAAGTTAATACAAGCTTCAATTGGAATGTCTAAGACATCCGCCGTACTCTCCGGACCTTGTTCCAACAAATTACCATTTTTTTCGAAATTTGGATAACTTCTTACAAGGGAAAAAATTCAACTCCATCGGAGTTGAATTTTTGCAGCAGTGCAAATCGCCTTAAAAGATTTTATTGATTCCCGTCCGAATGCTTTTTTAGTAAGGGGATCAATGAACTACCCATGAGACGGCAAAAGTGCAATGATAACAATGGTTTAAACTTTGATTAAATAAATATACATATTATGTTATAAAATATCGTCTTTTTGTTCCTTCCATACCAAACACCAATTTCATATGTAAGGACCTAATATATATGCATTACATAAATTGTCGCGAGTGAAAATTTATTTTTTCTTTTCGTCTATCCCGTATAACACTACTTTAGGATTTAACCCTAACCCGAAAGCGGCATCATTAAACGGACGGGCGTATAATACCCAGTGATCCAGTGACGCGTTTTCACGTTTCCAACGAAAAGTTTATTAATTAATAAGTCTGTTTCAAAAAGCTATAAATTGGGCCGCAAAACGAAAAGATTTTTTTTTGTTAATTTACTGTTTGACCTATAGGACATTGTCCTGGCTAATTGATAGTACTATCTATCATACTAGTTCTTCCTATACGCAGTAGGCTTTTAATTATATCCAGGAAAAATGCGGTATGTACTATCGGGACGGGACGGTAGGTGGTAGAGGGATGAATGGAACTCTCCCTCGCTGAATGCGGGGACCTACCCACTAAAAACCCTGAAGTAAAAACCCTGTAGAGCAAGTGAATTCTAACGAGAGGTGCTCAGGAACCTGAACGTATTTGCCGGGTCTCCCACTCTCTGCTCAAAGTCCAATCTTCCGGCAAAGTCCAATAGGATAAAAGTTTAGGCTTATCCAAACCATTATTACATGACTAAAATATCATTACGAACTGCAGCTTCTGCGGCCAAGGTATTACGATGTTGCACTAACAGTGCAAGTAGAGGAAAGAAATGACACACGGCAGTTTTAAGTGCCAACAAAGGACACCATGTATACAATCGTGGACATTGCCACTCTGCCTATAAGGCTAGTATCGCTTGCGCTTAGGTTAGCGCAAAAATCTCACCCGTTTTATTGAAAGATCGTCAGTCTAGTTTACGCACGTTACAGTTTTGGTTTCTGTCGCATATTGCTGCGACGTAACCAGCGCGGGCTAGACCGCTGCAAATTTACGATTTTTCGTGTATTTTAAACAATCAATAATTATCGAGATTCATTTGTATGCAACAAATGAATCTCGATAATTATTGATTGTTTAAAATGCTCCGATGGCCATCTTTATCAATTTTAGAGTAAATGGTGAGTTTTATTAGAAAAAGAGTAAATGGTGTTCAAAATAAAGCGTGTATAAATAATTTATACAAAATTGTTTCGACTAACCCATTAATCCCATTTCAAAAGAATTTTTGAATAGGTTTGTACAAATACATAGTTAAATATAACTACTTAGCGGGCGTCCATAAATTACGTGAGGTGTTTTACAAATTTTTTGACCCTCCCTCCCCCCCTGGTGAGATGTCGTGAGATTTTATTCAATCCCCTCCCCCATCCCCAAATCCTCACGTGAGATTTTTCAAAATGTGGGTTTCTTATTTAAACACGTTGGATTTTTTTAATAAAAAGAAAAAAGAAATTCGCTTCGTACTTTTATTTACGACTAGTTAGAGACTAGTATCAATATTGCTGAGAGCTACAAGTGTAATAAAGATTAAACAATGGAATACTTAATTCGTAACTACTGCGATTACAAAAGGAATATCTACTCTAATTCAGTCCATGGAGAATCATGCACGGTCTCGAGAGAGGCTATTGGAACCAGCATGTCCATATGATTTTCAGTAAAATAATCTGCTCCTTCAACTTCGTTCTGATCCAGCCACTCTAAGCCGTTGGCACTTGCGCACCGTAACTCATTAGCTCGTTTTGTGACAATCCGTGCGGGTCGTACTTTGCGCAATATACGCGCTTGCTTAGCTGGTGCAATGTGGGCTGCATGCCTGTGCTCTGCAGCTCTTGTGATAGATGCAAAGTAAATACCGCATGTACTACAGCATCTTTTTTCTAAATCATCATGTACACTTGGGCAATAGAGATCATAAGGCGTGCTAATGAAGGCATTCAGCGGTTGAATCGGTAGGCAGTGGCGTATTAGAAATGGAGCAAATGACTTTCCGTCATGCTCTTTAAAGTCCGGAATTGTCAAGTGTCCATCAACCTGAGTGATAGGGTATGGAGGTGACAGAAAACGGTCGTGAAGAATCATATGTAGATCACTCCGGCGTGGGCTGCAGCACTTCTGGTCATCGCATTTCACAACCTAAAAAAAATTAAAAATAATTTCACTTTGTAACTCTTAATAAAAATTTGTTGACAGTCGCGCTCGTTAAAAAATTTCAAAAAAAAAAAAAAATAGCCACGCATAAAAATTAGATATGAACAAACTGCAATGTACCTGGAGTAAATATTGGCTCTCTCTAACGTGCTCAGTGTACCATTCTTCGGCTGGCAGGTCTGGAACGCTGGAAGTGTCATTCGGGTCTACATATTTAGCGATTACTTCATTTCCGTCAATGCACACTGCAGACCATATTTCAGCCAAAATATCCCCTGCCTTTTTGAAATTATCTTTTTTCAGACTTTCGTCTAACGTTCTGCCATTGGAGTCAAGATGTGTCCCAAAAAAATCATGGGGAAGAATAACGCCTGTTAGTTCTCGACTGAGTGGAGCCATGCGTCTCTCTACTCTGTTGAATGCGCTCCTGCCAGGGGCATTAGTCACAATAAATATTGCGTCCAAATTATATTGTTTAAAATGCTCTATGGCGTGTGCGATCACTTTGCGATATCGCGGATTCTCATCAGGTCAACCGTCACTTGAAATGATAAGAACAGGTTTAATTTTGCTGTCTACATTCTTCATAAATTTGGAAAAAGACTCAATTGTTAAAAGAGTGTCCAAGTCTTGAGCGTGACTAGTTGTAGTTGACGAAGAGTGCTTGCCACTTCGTATTGCTATATAAGTTGGTCCACTATATGAGACAGCTTCTGGTCGTCCTATCTTATTGGGTTTCACTTCACAAAAAGCATACACGCTTGGAATTAATTTGTGCCCCGAAGCAATCACAAAGTCGTGATCTGGTAACGACACTTTATATTCAACGTGCATTAATAATGGCGCCTGCTTGTTTGCCGCTGTAAGGCTGATGGGAACGCGGGCTTTGTCATCCTGAGATAAAAAAGTTACGGAGTCAGGACCAAGTACTGAGGCTATCGTTTCCAGCGACCTTATGGAGGCCACAGAAAAGTATTGGTCTTGGTGTGCCTTATCATGGTCTGCTTCAGGACGACTCAGCTTCACCGGCACAGTTACTACATGGCGCTTTGCCTCTCGTGTATCTGCCCGTCTAGGCAACAGTCGAATATACGTAGCACTTCGTGAAACATTAAATCCCAGCTCGTTTAGTTTATTTGTAAGTTCTGAAAGAGTATAGACCGTGCGCGAACTATCTCACAACGGCGTCGCTCTTCGGCAGAAGCACCAAATAGAGCTAAATCACTTATTGTTTTTAGCAATCCAGACTGTTCTTCTTCCATACGTGGGCGCCCAGGGCCAGCACGAGGCGTCAATGACTTAGCTGCATCGGGATTCTTTGAACATAATTCAATTATTTTTTGTTTTTAATTTTTTCTGTGCGTCATAGAGTACGCTCAAATTACACACTTTATCAAATTCAGTACCGTCAGCTACAAGAGACCCCTTGCGCCTTTCCGTCAAGTCAAGATCCATACGCAGCTTAGCATTTTTTTTCTTCATAGTATCTTGTGCTGGAGTGGGACGTACGTTGGATGGTGTAGAGTTCGACATAGCATCATCCTCATTATCACTAATCACAAGAGACTGATTTTTCCGTTTCGAAGCGCCTGTGAAATGCAGAAAACTTTTATTTAGAATAGGAAGAAATGAAGAAAACGTCACCTATAAAAAGAAAGACGAATACCTGCCGGTTGAGGCAACGTCCAAATCTTGATCTCCTGACTGCTGGTCATTAATCTCATCCTGAACCACAGATTTCGCGTGTTGAGTATTATGATAGTAGATCTGAACCTGACCTGCACATTCCACGTTTAGAAAACTCTCAGTGCTCGTCCCAGCCTGAATCGAAGAACTGTTAGAGATTTTAGTGTGGGTCTGAAATCAAAGCATCATAATAAAGAAATGAATCTAATAAATTAAAAAGATTGGCAGAGCTTGGTTGGTGCAGACGTTAATGCGTTGGTTTGGCAATAAAACGGCGCGGGCCCCGGTCGGCACTATGTACCAATGGGATTTATTTCCTGCGTACATCATACTATGACTCAAAAATCATGACTGAAAACAGTAAAAGAAATGACCGCGCTAATATTTTGTAGATATGATTTTATCACATTTTATCAAGAATTTCACTGTTTCAGTTTTTTTCATGCTATTAATTGTAATAATAAAGTTTATATAAAAAAGTATTTTCTTAGAAAAATATATTTAACCTACCTTTTGAAGTAATGCTAAAGTAAACCGAACTTTTCTCTCAGTAGCTTCCCTGAGAAGCGATGTATTAAATCTTCTTTCTTCGGGAATTTTTCCTTCGCTGTATTCCATAATTTTATCACATCGTCCTGACAGGACTTCTTCGTCTTATAGACGTATCTTTTGACGTATGCCTTATAAAAACCTTGATAACTCATTTTAACTTAATAAGAGCATGCACTGAGTCGAGTAAAACATTTGCAAGAATAAACAAAGCAGGTTGGAACCCGTCCGTGTGTCGCTGCACTCAGCTCGTACGCTCTCATTCATCGAGTCACACGTTCAGCTGACAGTGGCGCGAAAACAAAGGACGGGCTACATTGTACCGTAAATTCAAATTAAATTGAGCTATTTGGTATAAAACGAGTATAGTGGTTTGACAATCAGGAGTGATGTATAATGTCAAAGTACGAATGAAATTATTTTCTTTCCAACGAATTAGTGAATGATCTTAACCTTAGACTTGTCACTCTATGAGGGATTCCCCGCACCGAGCCTTATTTTAAAAATTGCGTGATATTTGCCGAGATCCACTCTCTCCAACGTGAGATTAGATGAGATTTGACTCGACTCCCTCCCCCCTTAAACATCTCACGTAATTTATGGACGCCCCCTTATTTATTAAAATCAAAATCTACTGCTATTTCTTATCTTAATAATAGGGGTACAATTTTACAAATAAAAATAATATAAAATGAGAAACTTGCTAATTTTGGACCCATCATTAGCCTTTTTTTGTAAGTCTTCCAACAATTGAATAAATAAATATTGACTAATCCGTGTTCTAAAGTTGAAATAGTAAAGAAAATAATTAAAACATTACTTATACATTTATTTAATAGGCCCTCTACATAGCAGTAAAACAATTAAATAATATTTAATTGTTTTACTTTAATCAGTATTAAGTATTAGAAGTATTGTAATCCTTAACAATTCTGATGTAGCAACCTTAATTGCAAAATTACAAAATAAAAGATGGAAAACATTACGTAAAAAATTTGTATCACAGAAAATAATCAAATACGATAACAATTTAATAATACCTTTACCCTAGTGATAACGTTAAACACTATGGATGTGTATTACAATTAAACTATAATGATACAAAACACAAATATCACGGAAAATAGGCAGATACTATTGCAACTTACATCAAGCTTGTCTATTTTCGCGAAATAATTGACCAAAACTTAAGTATGTTTGAAATATATATTTTTAATATTAAAAATAGTTGCATTAATTTACAAAGTCAAATTACATAAAGCCAAGTATTCCGTCTGAAGTTTAAATATAAAAGAAAATAAAGAGTAGGCGTACATAATTTTTAATTTTAATTAACGCAAGCCTAGTTGCGAAATAACATTGACCAAAATTGACAATATTTATAACTATTCAATAGATATGAGCGCCGATGGCTAATTCCAATTTCAATTCCAATTCGGCGGCGTGGTGTAAAATATTTTACAGAGGCGACGGCGCGTATATAGGGATCAAAAGTATATAACAGTATGTGTTAAACATCTTCCATTGCAGCTGACCTGACGGAACACTTACGAGCGTGATATAACCGGTATTTCTTATAGTCTTTATTACGAGCCTCTTGAGCATCTTCAGATAATTGGCCTATTGGCAAAACTGCAAAATGCTCGATTATTTTGGCACCATGTATAAGAATTTTGTAGACTGAAGATGGCATATAGTACCAGTAGTATTTACTCACATATAACTGTGCAGTCCCAAGCGTATATTCACCAAACTTTACAGCGTTTACAGAAAATTCCGATGATATGGTTTGCAGAATTATGTATAATCTCTTGATCAACTTCATCGATACCTGTGATTTCTGCAGAACACTGATAGTTTTCGTATTTCTCCTCCTTGCCGTATTTCCGTCATTGCTATTTCCAGAACTTTGACGAGGTTTATCAATGTGTAAACCAAGCATATCCCGAAAACGAGTTTGAACGTGCTTCTTTTTTTCTTCTTTTATCTCTTTGTTCTCTGGAATCGATGCAGTCCAAGGTTATCAAATCCTAGGTTATAAGAAATATGCAGAATCATTTCCATACACCTTATCCACGCATGTAAGGTAAAGAAACCGTATTTAAATGCATCTTCGTTTTCAATTCTGGCAGTTATTTTTGTTAAAACGTTCATCTGTCTAGGAGTTGCTCCACAAACAGTGCATGAAGCACTCGATGGAGTCTGTGTTAACAATTGAACGACTTTTCCGTCGATCATAGTCATGAAAAGCTCATGTCTTACTACTATAATATTACCTTCTATCAGGGGTCGGAAACCGGTATATTTTTCGAAACATTTTCATCTTAAATACCTAAAAAAACACTTTGTTTCGGTTTTGTTCGAACAGAACGATATAAAAAACGATTTTGGAAAAAAACAGAATTATATTGTTTTCGGTTAATAAAACGTTTTTAACCATTTATTTTGCGTTTTTTTGCATCGCATACTGTAAATAACGTAATAAAATAAATGTACGCCGCCCTTACAGCCCGCGCGGCATCGTCTTGCGGATTAAACCGGTTTTTTAAAGCGTTCTCATTTCGTTTTCGTTTCGAACGCAATCTTGCCCAAAGAACCATAAGAAACGTTTTAAAAACGTTATTTTGAATAACGTTTCCGAGCCCTGCCTTCTATTGCTGCAGGCGTTCGCGTTGGAGTTAATTCATTAATTTTTGCTTCAAGTTCACTTACAACAGCAATAGTTTTTTCAGGAGTTTCTTTTGCTAATTCCAGAGAAATGGGTCTGCAATATCTAACTGAAGGACATGCTGGATTTTGCCATATAACTACTTTACTTTCATCATCCACTAGTTTCAATGGCACAAGTGAAACTATAAACATATTAGCATCCGATATTTGTTCATTTTCTTCAGGTTAAACTTGTTTAAATTCACTGTGTCCCGAGGATCCATCGCAACCCCATTTGCTATATAGTTTAAGACGGGTGAAATTTTTAGTAACAGAGTCAATCTTTAAAACACGACAAACAGTGTGATCTAAGAGATCTTGAAGATTCACTTTGGCACTTACATTCGTTACGGACATGCTTAACGCAAGAGGGTAGCAATCCTTCTTTGCTTCAGCCAAAATTTGGTATGATGGAAATACAGAATATAAGTTCTTCTCAACAAATCTCTGCCTCAGGTAGGAATATTGAGCTTTAGATAGATCGGTTTCAATATATGTATATACACAATGCTTCTCCTTTGGTATAGGAAAGGACATCGTCTGAACTTTCTAAAATGTTTCTTAAAATGACTTTTTTCTCCTCCTTTTCTGTATTTCTCATAATACTCACAATCGAAGCTTCATCATTTTCACCCATAGATCGTAAACCTTGCACATAAGCGTAATGCACATGCCCCATTCCATACTCCTGAAGTAATTCCATGTTTTTACGTTTTCTCGTACTTTCCGAACACGCCTCATATGGTTTTGTTAGTTTACCACGATCTTCAGATGTATTTAAGTCAGAATTTTCAGATGTTGAGGTACTACACGAAGGCAATAGTACTTTAAACTCACCATTCAACCAATTTGTGTATTGACTCTCAAAGCGTTCTTGTTTTCTTAGAGCTTTCGCCCATTTTTGGTTACAAATCGTAATCAAACTCCTTTGAATACTTTGTATAACCGCATTGACTTCTGTCGTTGATAAATGGAAATTGTCCAACAGATATTTTTCAATATCTGAAGTACTTTTTCCGCTTATTATTTGAGCACATATATCGCGTCGAAAACAAACGAATTCACTCATTTTAAACTTTTTTCAGCAAATTCGCAGTTACTGAAGTATGGTATCAGGACACTTTGATGAACATGACGAAAACTTGAGTATTTATAGGACCCTAGTTTTAGTGACTTGTGCAAAACCAATGAGAAAATTGATAAAAACCGTTCTCACACCAATATTGATTATATGTACCACAATAGGTAAGAACTATGCAAAACGTTTTGTATCATAGTAGTTAAATTAATGTATTAATAATAGTGGTTCAATTAATTACCGCAAAAAAATAGGTAAAAATATTTTTCGGCTGACATTTTTGCTTCAAGTTCAAAATAGCGCAATAATGACGCAGGTTTTTTTTATTTCCCTGTATTTCTAAATAGGTAAGGTATTTAAAAATGTCATTAACTCAACATCGACAGCCATCGGTAACAATGAAACTTCAATTTGAAAATTAAAAAGATGGAAAATTTCCTTAGTCATTTAAAAATTTAATAAAAAACAGAAAAAATATTCCTTATTAAAATATAATGTATTTGTAAACAACAGATCTTGGGCAATCCAAAAATGTATAATACTTATATATTTGTTTGAAGAACATAGAAAATATCTCAAGTTGAACTTCCATAACGAGAAGTCTAGTTGAACTTCCATAATGAGAAGTCTAGTTATTATTAAAGTCTAAAGTTTGAGTGTAATTTTATGTACCCAACACTTTTTTAAATTTGTTTTTACTATTATATCGTATAGCTCTATCATTTTAGAATGTAAAATCATCAAAATGGCATCAGTAACACAAATTTTGTCCCAACCATTTATGAGATTGAAAATGCTGGTTGGTCCCATAGTGCGCCGGCGTAGCGCTCATATCTACTATTCAATAATCAACGTATAAAACACAAATCATGTAAAATATGTATTATTAATTAATAAAAATAACATAGTAGAAAGCAATAAAAAAACATAAAAAGTAAATTATTTGATTTCTATTACAGGTATTTTATCAAATGTAATATGAATAACAATATTGTAGCACTATATCTATGTCCACCTATTAATACTACTAATTATTATATTAACTGCTATACCGGTGAATGTGCTCAGGGATGGTCTTCAATCGCAGAATCTAGTTGTATCCATGGGCGACCTGTCTCTCTGCGAAATTGATATAGAATTGTTGTATTTTAAATAATTTTGACAAAATAAACTCTTCAAACATATGTCTAAATTAATGTTTCTTTAAAGACAACATTTATTCAAGTTGAAGCCATGGTATACCTATTAATTACAACGCAATTAGAATTAACCAAGTTGTTACATACTGCACTAACAGCATAAAAATTGCATTGCTTTTTTCATAATAATGCGCTCTATATAAATATGAGTATTTTGTGATATTTTAAATAGCTGTTTTGTTTTTATTGTAAGATTAATCTATCTGAAATTGTAGAGATTTATCAGTCTCAGTCGAGTGTCGGTAGATACCTAAAGCAAACGAATATTATGAGTTAAGTCTAAGAAGCAATAGAAAAGGAATGTTTTTCTATTTACATAGTATTAATAATATGAATTATATATAAAACTTGTTATTTTAATGACTTACCGAAAAATGTGAAATCTGCAAAATAATTCTTCCTTTTCCACTTAAAACTATTATTCGAATTCTTTCTTCTCTTAATAAATTGCGCGCCATTATTTTTGCTTTATATAGTAATATAATCACACAACAAACAATATATCAGTCAAGTTTAAAAAGCAGTGTTAAGTGAAAGCATGAATCAGAGTCCGGGTAGCATAAACAGCGGAAAGATTAACAAATATCACAATTAGACGCGTTGTCAATGGGCATTCAAGTACGCATCCTTGTACACGGCACTAACGGGCGGTTGATTTTTATTGGTAGTAGTGCGTGTATGGGCGGGGCGTAGTTAACACTGCAAGAGACATATGCAAATATCCACCCACCACCACCTTTATATTATTTATATCATCATCGTTTATCAGCGTCCTCACTGCTGGGGCATAGGCCTGCCTTATAGATGAAACCAAATTACGAATATCTACCTGTGTTTCTGTGGATAACGCGCGCGTCTTTTTAGAATTGTCCAGTTACTCTTCTTTCCATTTTCGTGGACAGTAAAATCGACATACCATGTAAAAACTAGAAACAAATGTATTTTTTTTAAATAGTCCTTATATTGAAGTCTTTTAATAATTACGCTGTAATTTTGCTTGGATAGATATTGTGTTTATTCTGGACTCTCAGATGAGGGCTTTGATTTTTAAAGCCTTAAATGCGTTGCTTGTGCAAGATTATGTGACTGATCCTCAGAGCAACTTGACGGTCAACTTGTTCTTGCTTTATTAATTCGGAATTTTCAAAGATTTTAGTGCGAGACGCCAAATTAAATTTTTCCGACGAATATTCTGCCGTCACTTCCATTTGGAGGTAACTTATATACTTTGAATTTGCTATTTTCGATGAAATTATTTTCTACCATTAGTAGCTCATTTAAAGTTTTTTTTATAATTTTTAATCATAATTATCGTCAGTTTAGTACATTTTTCGCAAACATAAATTAGGAAAGTCTTAAACCGTCTGTCAGAAAAATATAAAAGTATCTCGTTAATACTTTTATTATTTATTATACGATATATTATTTTTTGGGCTGTTACATATCGATCCTATGACGTCTCATCATATGATGAATAATTCACCATTAATATATATTAAGAGAAAAACCGGACAAGTACAAGCCGGACTCGCGCGTTATGGATTCCGTACTGTACCCATATTAACTGCAAAAGGTCACGTTTGTTATTTTCAAAGAAGTTGTTCAAAATTTTCAAGTTATATACGTTTATGAGAGTTTTTCGTTCAAATACTTTGAAAAATATATATGTTTAACTAAGACATTTCAACAATAAATTGTTGAATAAAAAAAATCTTAAAGAAAAGTATTCTTGAGACAATAAACGAATTTAAGAAACTATAGAACGATTTTTTTTCTGAATTGTTTTACTTTAAAGGAAATTTCATTATCTATCTTTCCATCTGCGTTAATTTAACATATTACAATAAAAATAAACGGACAAACTTTTTAACTGAAATTTTCACGTAGAAAGGTAGCGGGCGACTAGAACGGTAGTGCCCTGTTGATCATTGTCACGGGTAGACGCTGTCACTCGGAGCGACGACGGGTACTAAGCACGCAATTTATTTACGTTGTAATAATTATCAAGTAAGGTTGGCAAACGTACAAGGTTGTTAATCAAAATTATTTATGAAGTTTAGGCTGTTACAAGCACTTGTGAAATTCGAGAGCTACGCTATCGGTTCGTAAATCTACGGCGGGAGACCTTGTACCAAGAAGAACCGGCAAGAAACTCAGCAAGGGCTGCTTTTTTCTTCCTGTTTTATTTCATACAGAGCGACAAGGTTTCAAAATGACTTAATTTAAATATGAAGTCACTTTCCATTACAATATTAGAAATTATAAAAGTAAAACAGTATTTACGTCAATCGAGTCACGTACATATCTAGTCAAACAAGCTCACCGATAAATATTAGGTCCTTACATATGAAATTGGTGTTTGGTTTGGGAGGAACAAAAGGTCGAATATTTTGTAATATAATATATTTATTTAATCAAAGTATAAACCATTGTTATCTATGAACTTTTACCATCTCATAGGTATTTAATTGATCCCCTTACTAAAAAAACCATTCGGACGGGATTTTTTTCCCTTGGTAAGTAAGTTATTTCGACTCCACCAGATTACCATATTTTTCGAATAAGTTATCCAAATTTCGAAAAAAAAGGTAATCTGGTAGAGCAAGGTCCGGGGAGTACGGAGGATGACTTAGACATTCCAATTGAAGCTCTTCTGATTTGGTAGGCGTCTGTTGTGCAGTGTGTGGTCTAGCGTTGTCGTGAAGTAGCAGTGGATAGAGCGATTGACATGCCTCGGATTTTTAACAGGTAGTTTTCCCAGCATGGTTTGCAATTGCTGACATAAGACGTCTGCTGTAATCGACCAGAATTGAGAAAACTGTAATGAACGACACCGGTTAGTTCACCAAACGCTTACAAGTAACTTTTTTGGGGTCAGTTTTCTCTTGGGACAGGATATGGCTGGCATGCCAGGGTCCAACCATTGCGATGAGCGCTTACGATTATCGTAGAGAATCCACTTTTCATCACAGGTAGTGATTCGATTTAAAAACCCTTCATTATTGTGCTGGTTAAGTAATGTAACGCAGCAGTCGATGCGCGTTTACTGGTTTGCTTCACTCAATTCGTGAGGTATCCACCTTTCAAGCTTTTTCATCTTTCCAATTTGTTTCAAGTGGATGAAAACAGTTTTATCACTAACACCGCAGCGTGCAGTTAACTCGGACGTGGTTTGCGATAGACCTGCTTCCACAATAGCCTTCAGTTCTTTAATATTAACTTGGGTCTCCAGCCGTCCACGGGGCTTGTTCTGCAGGTCGAAATTTCCAGAACGAAAACGGAAACAAAAACGCACTGTGTTTTCTTTTGCGACATAACCGCCATACAAATCATTAAGCCTTCAAACCGTTTGTGCAGCACTGGTACCACGGTGGAACTCGTACTCGTAAATAACATGATATTTCGTTTTCCATTTTTTATACTGGGTGACATAAATAAGACAAACAAAAGAAAAAAAAAAAATGAATGCCGCCTAACGAAACACAAATACATGTGTAAATGACTGTACAAATTCGAATTTTGAATTCCCAAGCACGGAGGACAAATTTGTGATTTGTCCTCCGTGCACGGAGAGATTTGACAAGCACGGAGGACAGATGGACTGTAGCTGGCTTTAAAAGCGGGCAGGTAGCAGAGTAAAATACTTCGTTTGGAGAAGCTCGGAGAACGTTCGAAGGCAGAACATGCTTTATTGCGAAAAATCGATTACTTATGTACAATTTGGTTAATCGCACTTAGCTCAAATACAAATCAGTTAATCTTATAAGATTCCTTAGAGTGGGGGTACGCTAC